TTCATAATCCTTAGACCTCTTAGATTCACAGACGCTAGACGGATGAATTCACACTAATGCGCTTTCTCAGATCTTGTAATCGTGACTCATTTTTTTTCGGATCTCACTAGAACTATGATGCCCTTCATTTACACCCAGGGGGACTCCAGTATGAAATTAAAGGGTGCTGGTTTGAAGTGTCCAGAGAAGAACATTCTGAACCGGAAAATCTCATTTTATGAGCGCAGCTTATCTAACGAGGTACCGATCTCAAAACAACAAATTAGCTGGCACTGATAATTAAAAATGGAGAGTAATGAGTGTTTCTCCCCTTTTCAGCTAATAACTATTAAAGAATCATTTCTGAAAGGTAGCGCAAAAACTCCATCGGTGGTTATTTTAGATTTTAGAACCCTCAGTAGTAACAATTAACAAAAACAGTTTCGGGTCAGTTTTACTCTCTTTAGAAAGGTACGACGTGCACCCCCCGTCCTATTTATAGGGAGTTGTGACAACCGATGACACTTGGCCAAAGCCTGCTAAGAAACTTGTCAACAATACGCACTTGTGATTTAACAGTTCAACATGAAGACAAGTACTTGCAACTTCCTGCAGTTCTGAATTACTTCCGAGCCTCATTTATCCATGCAGCGCATTTCCTCTATTAAGTTTCGAGCCTCTAATTAGCTGACTTGTAATAAGCGCCAGGTTAGGGCGCCAAACATTAGAGAAGCCCCCGGCGTACGGGATCTACAGCTATTTTTTTTTTGTTATAGCTTTGACAAGATTCTTTTAAAATGTCGTGTTACATCATGCCTCCTTTTGTAACATTGTTGCATCAGGCCCCAGCATGCTTTGGGGTGTAATAAAAACGTGTCGCCATCTTGTGTGCTTGGGCTAAGTGGTAGGTTGTAATGGACACACACTGGCAATAGAGATTGACTCTCACTGCTTTACACTCAAAGACTGGACCTCGAAACGTGTAAAACCCTTGTCGCTGATTTTAACTCTCAAGTATGTAACAAATTTAACTCAATTCGCACAAAACTGACAATCAGTCTGGATCCACGCCTGCCACTGACTCAGAGGAACACCTCGTTTCCTTTGATATCATCATCTTCTTTAGCCTGTGTACAGACGTCCCCCCTCCCTCAGGAAAAATCCTCTGCCGATTTTTCTTGAGGGAGGGGGAACGTCTGTACACAGGCTACCGCTTCTTTATTCCTTGTCATAAGTTAATGTTAGTGTATGTGTAAAGAGAGGTATTATGAAGTATGTACAAGGCCATCGGCACACACGAGACCAATTCCGACTTTTAAGCTGAAACTAAAGTCTCCTCGAGGCCGCTCCTTTCCTACGCCTCCACAGCATTAAGGAAGCGGGGGAACGGGCCGATTGAGAGCAACCACATCGAAAATGTGCTTACATAGTTAAGTGAATCCTAGGATATTTTCTAAAGAGTCTGTAAAAAAAAACGGAAATGTCTTTTACTTAGCTCGAGTTAAGCTCCTACCCTTTCCTTTCTTATTTTTGCTAAGTTGCGTGCTCTTGCAATGTCGTATAAACTCAGTATGCTCATATAAATAATCTTATTATTGTTGAGTTATATTACAGCGGAACAGGATTAAGGTCTGGCATCCGTGTGGGTTTTAAAGTTCGTAAAAACTTAACCTAGCCTTCTCACTATTCAATAGGTTATGGGTTCGTGCACAAAATTTTTACCATGAACGCCAAAAGTCAAATTACTTCACGTTCAGTACATCAATTACAGCTTCAAGGAAAGAGTATGTTTTTTTATGAGTGCCACTAGTAAACCCCCCTTTTTTCAATAAAAAATACATATCCTCTTTCATTTCTATTCCTAGTCCTTTATGTTTCTTCAAGAAGGAGTGGGGGGGGGGGGGGGGATTTTTTT